GCCGTTTAAAAAAAAAAAATTTTTAATTATTGCCTAGGAACTTGAAAAAGCATATTTAAAAAATTTACATAATTTTTTTTTTTTTAATATAATTCTATTAATATTATTCAATTCGATCTCTCATTATAGTCTTTCCCCATTTTATTCAGTCTAATAATAATAGTGTCGTTAACTTATTTATTATCCCTAATAATAATAATAATAATAAATAAATAATTTAATATATTATTATTATTATTATTGATTTCCGGTTGTTTTAACCATCATTTTAAGTGCTCTTTATTAAATTCACACACAAAAATATTAATAAAATATTAGTTAAGCGTATATTGAGCGCAATATTTAATTATAATACATAATAAGCCTTAATGAATATTTAATTAAAAACTAAATCATCTTTTTTTTTTTTTTTTATTAATATATTTATTAATAATAATAATAATAATAATAATACTTTTAGAATATTTAATAATAATTTATTTCTTTATATAAATAATTTTTTATTTTTTTTTTATTTTGAGATCAAAAATATTTGTAAATAAATTTACTTTAAAAAAAAAAAAAAAAAAAACAAAACATATTTAATAATTAAAAAAATAAATAAATAATAATAATAATTAATTGATTTTTTTTTTTAAATAATAATAAACTATTATTAATTGAAGCCATTTTTTTTTTTAAATTTACCATAATTTGCAATTATTATTATTATTATTATTATTATTTTTTTTTTTTTAAATTTAATATTCAAACGTTTAATGTATTATTAAAAGTGATTTCAAATAATATAAATTCAATTTATTTATTTATTTATTTATTTGACACGAATATTATTGAAATCGCTTTTATATATATATATATATATATATATATATACAAAGCTCACATACAAAATCATTTAATTATTATTATTATTATTTTCACACCGAAAATATCTCAATACATGAATGTAACATCAACCTGAGTTAATAAATACTGTTTGTTTAGCATTATTATTATTATTATTATTATTATTATCGTGGGTTATTAAAAATTAAATTTTCATTTACCGACTGTAGTTTTTATATAAAACGATACTACTACTACTAAATTTATAATAATAATAATAATAATATCGAGGTAAGCATTTAAATTTAGTATAATAATATAATTGTAATTTTTTATTAAAATAATCGCGGGGAAATCGTATCACATTTACGCTTTAATTTTTTTATAATATAAATAATTAATTTATTTATTTATTTTATTAACAAAATAAAATATCGTAAATTACGGAAAAAAAAAATAATAATAATAATAATAATTTTTTTAGTTTTGTCTACTTGTCGAAAAAATCTAAACTTGTGAGGGGGGGGGTTCCCCCCCTTAATTCTTTAAAAAAAAAAAAAAAAAACACTGAGCACAATATTTGTTTTAATTATGTAATGCATAATTTTTATTTTTGTAATATTTTCAAATAATTTATTCATAATTTTTTATACCAGAATAAAAAAAAATCGCCATCTTCGACGAGAAGTTCATCGACCCCAACCGGAGCAACAAATTGATTTGGTGGTGGTAATGTTAAATCGGGGGGCATGGGAAGTTTATAAAGGAGCCAATAATGATAACTCATGGGTTCTTCTTTATAACCGGCTAAAGTATGGACGTAGTGACCGTTGGGCCATTCCGTAGATTGAAACCTTAAAGGTAAGTAAAATTAAATTAAATTTAAATTTTTTCGTGTTAAATTAATTTAATTTAAAAAAATTACTAACGAAAAATGATTATCTTTTTGAGCGGCCATTTGCATAACATTGTAAAAAGTATCGTTATTTTCCGTCGTTATATTAATATTATATATTTCCGTTACGTTACTTCCAACCCATAATGTATAAGATACTGTTACGATATCATCCGGATTAATTTCGATCTTATTTAAATTTGTCAAATTTGTCACTTTCGTTTCGAGTTGTAAATTTTGAGTTTTATTTACATTATTATTATTATTATTATTATTATAGTTAAGATTATCTGTCATTTTGTTGGGCATGCTCGATGAATAAAGTGTAAGAGGATTAGAGGACCAATCTGAAATTTAAAAAAAATTCATTATTAGTATCAAATTTTGATTTTTTAATTTAATGGCTGCCAATTATTAATTAACTGACTTTTAGTTTTTTCATTTTGACAATTTATATCTTTTATGCTGACTAATCCTTGCGGTCCTAATGCCAAAAGAACCATTATTGTCGTATATACAATCTATAAAAAAAAAAAAAAATTTTGTTGGTTTTATAATACGAAAAGTTAAATTACAAAACATGATTGATATCAAACGTATAACGAATTTATCAATTCTAAAAATTATTGATTGATTTTTTTTTTTTTTTTTGTCGTTAAACATAGTGATGGTTTCCAAAGCAAAAGGTTTTCATTTGATTTTATTTTCTACATTTTTAGTTTTTATTTTCTCCATTTTTTTCAACTCACGTCATCGTCTCCAAACGAACCATCATCGTTTTGTTGCATTTTAACATAATTTATAGCAGAAGTTTTATTCCAGTGACGTGCACCTGGATCCGTCGATTGTAATGCTTGTATGGCAAATGCCGAAGATTTTAAATCACCAAAACTTCCATTTTCTTTTTGTAATTTTCCTAATTTTTTAGTTGGATAAACCAAATAATGATGTAAATTTCTATTCCTGTGATCTTGAATTATACAGTGTAAAGCAATTACGAC